GCTGTGGATCTCTGCAGCTCCTCCAGAGTTACCATGGGCCTCTTGGCTGCTCCTCTGATTAATGCTCTCCTTGTCCGGCCTGTCAGTTTAGGTGGATGGCCATGTCTTGGTAGGTTTGCAGTTGCGCCATATGCTTTCCATTTTCGGATGATGGATTGAACAGTGTTCCGTGAGATGTTCAAAGCTTGGGATATGTTTTTAAAATAAAATAAAATAAAAAAGCTAAATATTGTGTAATATAGAGAAACTTTTTTTATCTGCCAATTAAATAAGCAAAAATGACTTAAGAATTCCTCTTAAGAATAAAATCAGGCCACTACAAAACTGTCTGGCCATAGATGTAGTTAAAAAGGTTTGCAAGAAGAGTTTCAACAATTTAGTTCTTAAAAAAAAAATTTTAAACTGTTTGAATTAGTTTATCTTGGTTCATCTTCCAGTTGAAAGTTCAGGGTAGCTAACTGTCGAAGTCTGCAGTTGAATGGATCTAGGCGCGCTTAATCCAACTGATTCTGGCACAACAAAACCTTACCTATTAAAAGTTCACAAGAAAGTAATCGCTCTATTTAACATTGTTGTACATCATATTCAAGTTCTCTTTTCATAATCAGGCTTACAGAACACAATTTAACAAAGTTACAGTTTAGCCTAGTTAACTGTTCAGTCAATACAAGCAGAAGCAACATTACAGGCCCTGAAATTCCATGTGAAGCAGTTTAAACCTCTCAATCACACATACCACTTTACTGCATTAAATTTCTTAAAATTCATGTGAAACAAAAGTTTATAAAGTTCATAATTTCTAACCGTGTTAGCAGTATGTGTGTTTTCCCCATGGGATTTCATATTGGATTAGCTATCGTGGCTAACCACTTCAGGCTTGGCGGAGCTATTAATATTAATTGCGGCAATACTGACCACTACACAACTTGTATAAAGGTTGCAATACTTGCCGCTGAATAGTAAGAGTTTGTGTATCATAAATGTCTAAGTAAGATATTTATTTGCTCCATTCCCTAGTTTGCTCCAGTTTCCATGAACTGAGAAGACAGACAATTGATAACAATTTACTTTACTGTACCACATTGATAGTGTAGGTGGATGTATGTTGAACCAGACCTACAGTATGATACTTAACAATTTTGACTTTAGACATGGGGAAAGAGAGAACACCAAGAATACAAAGTTTTGGATCTATTTTTATCTTAATGCCTCATCTCAATTTCTGTATGGACTGATAACCAAAAATGAAAGTAAGTAGCATATTAGTCCTGGCACTAATATTGATCCTACCATTTCCAGCATTTATTAGCTTCAAATGTAAGGACATTAGTCTCAGGCCAGTTTGGTTGTTGTAAGTGCAAAAAGTCAAAAGAGTTATTTTAGCTCTTTGTAATGCCAGAATTTCTCATGCTTTGTTGACTTTCCAGGTGGGTTTTCCTGAAGGTGTTGTGAATATCTTGCCTGGCATGGGGCCATCAGCTGGTGCTGCCATTGCAAGACACATGGATATTGACAAGGTGGCCTTCACTGGATCCACAGAGGTGGGGTAATATTATTTTTGCCTTAAATTGTTGTTGGCAAGATGACATGGAGCTCATTCTACTGTATTCGCTCTAACTAAAATAGCACACATTATCATAAACAGACCCAGTGTTTCCCATACATTGATTTATTTGTGGCAGGCCACCACAATATCAACGTTGACCACCACATATTGATTTAAAATAGGTTAAAACTTGCTTTATGTGGTACCGCGCGTAGCACATGTTATCGCTCGGTCCCTCCATGCCCCACATTCTTTCTCTCACACTAACCCATAACAACCATGATAACGGACTGTCTATGAACAGCTCCTTCTGTCTAAATTTTTATTTATTTATTTATTTTACACAACGCTGTCAATTGCAGAGATCCAACAGTCTAATTCAATACATTATTAGCAAGCAAATAAGGCTAGCTAAGCTAACATTAGAATGCAGCTGTTGCTGAGGTCAGCATACAGTATATAGCTTGCATCTATATGGACTGCTCTGCAAGTGGATAAAGTTAGTGCTAGTTCATAAACTCTGATATTGAGTGTTTGCCCCTCAGTCTCGGGGAATGTTGAAAAATATATGTGGGAAAGCTTATCAGTCTGACCAGTGTGATGAGTGACCCATTTGTTTTGTTTTGAGTATTTACTGGGTGCAACCACTACTGCTGAAACAGCAAGATAGGGTCAGGAGGAGATGGATGACAAAGCAGCTGACATGGTGCTGATGTGGGAGAGCTAGTGCTGATGGGACAGGTCAGATGAACAGCACAGAGGGTACTATAGTATTACTATGTGTAAAGAGCCCATGACATGCTTTTCCTTGTTTTTTGACTTATCTACAATGTTACAATGGTGAATTATCATTTTAGACATTACCTAAAGATAACAAAATGAGGTGTACATTCGTTCTTCTATGCAGAAGCAATTTGGTTTATACACGTCTCGCAAACTCTTGCTCATGAGACTTTTTTTTTTCTAAGAAAATTAAGTATTGCATGATAGTTTAAGGATTTCCTTGAATGGGCATAATCTCCAGGCTGTTGCGCATTCATGTGAGCTTGCCTGACATCCACCGGTTCCCCTGACCATATTGGCAAAATGTTATATTGCCTTGTTTATTATGTGTATTTCCAATAAATCTTGTACTGTGAGTGCAGTGGTTCTGTCTCCAGTTACTTTGGATAAGTCTGTTTACAGACTTGTACTTAAACTTATACAAAGTACGATCAGAATATGGAAGCAAATTAATTAATGTATAAAGTGTTGTGAAAAGGAACGGCAACATCACACCGTGGCAAGTACTTTACTGTCCCAATGTTTTTTGAAATGTGTCGCAGGCATCGGAATTGAAGTGAGTGTTTATTTTGAACAAAGAATAAAATCATTATTTAGTTTTAATTTTCATTTTACATACCATCCCAACTTTTCCTGATTTGGGGTTGTACAATTAGGACAGTGTACTGTATCTCTGCTGAGGTTGGAGGCATTGTTTTTTATCATAACACACCAGGAGGTGGAAAGGAAGTGGCATTCCACTAATTTAGTAAATGTTATCCAACCTGGTTAAGGTAACCTAAAAAGCCCTTTGTAACACCAGAACCAAATATTGGTCTTCATTATTAAGGAAAATAAGAACAACCCAAGGTTTCTTATCAGCTGTACTTGAAGGTGTCACCATCTCTGCCTTTCCCTGTTTGTGTCTACCAGGTTGGTCATCTAATCCAGCAGGCTTCAGGTAGCAGTAACCTGAAGAAAGTCACTCTGGAGCTAGGAGGAAAGAGTCCTAATATCATCCTTTCTGACGCCAACAGTATGTATTCTCTGTGTTTTGAAAACTGCAAGGTGCTGTTGCTACTGTGTCTCTGTGTTTTACAGATTTAGCTAACTGCCACACTCACATTGGAATCGTGGTTGGATTATCATCTAGGCAAAGCAGACAAAACCCTTTGGGGGTTCCTAAATCAGAACTGGATCGGTGCAGCGTCCGCATTATGCGGTCTCTGTACCGGTCCATTGTGGTGAAGAAGGAGCTGATTCGTAAGACGAAGTTCTCAATTTACAGGTCGATCTACTTTCCTACCCTCACCTATGGCCATGAACTTTGGATCATGACTGAAAGAATGAGATTGCGGATATAAGCGGCAGAAATGAGTTTCCTCTGGAGAGTGGCTGGGGGCACCCTTAGGCATAGTGTGCGGAGCTCAGTCACCCGTAAGGAGCTCAGAGTAGAGCCGCTGCACGTTGAGGTGGCTCAGGCACCTGTTTTGGAATGGAAATGGAAATGTTTTGAACTACTGGGTCCAGATTGTTTAGCGGAGTATAGATGAAGTAGGAGACATGCAGGATGTCCCCTAAGAAGGAAAAGCCTAAACCTGGAAGTAAAAGACAGAGCATGACACTAACAGCTTTTCCATTAAGCTGTTCTTTATGTATGGTACATAGCTGCTATGGTATTCAGTTGGCAGTTGGCAATTCATTCACTCAGAGAAACTCTGAGATTAAAATATCTTAATAGTATTGATGCTATACTTGTCAACTTGCCACTGCAGCTATAGAAAAAGAATGGCGTAACAGTTGCATTGGTTGATAGATGATCTAGTGTTAGTACTGTTTTCAGTATGCCATATAAAATTTGAGATCCCTTAAACTCTAGTTCACACTAAATCTTGTCACTATATAATCACAAACTGCATTGAACTCTAAACAAATGGTGATTTTAAACTAGCTGTAGCTACATTAACATATGCACTAATGTTATCGTGTCTCTCTCTTCACCTGCTTGTAATAATATGCTTCTTTGATTCTAAACTTGAAATAATAAAACCACTGTACTTTAGCCATTGGATATGGCAGTGCACATCGCTGTCCTTGACCATTTTTGGGGGCAGAAAATCCCCCCTCACATTATACACTGTACCAGTTTTGGTCTTGCTGTTGTCATTTTGTAGACCAGCTCCCTAAAAAAAAATTTCAGGAATGCAACCCAATGTATACTCCCTGATGGCATTGTGAAATCTAGCAATTGTTTTATGATAGTTTGAGTGAAATGGAGGTTACAGCATGGAAGTGGAGTGGAACCAAGGGGTTGGAGAGGATTGGGATGGTGGAGCCAATCCCAGTTCACACAACTAAAAATTAATCAGGCCGATTAATCGGGGCAATTTTCTGCATTTTTAGGACATTGGCTGAGGACTGCATGCTAATCAGTCAGTGTTTCTGCTGACAAATAATGTGCGTGCTACTTACTGTGTGCACTGCAAGTATTTGTATATTTATGTTTTATCTCAGGAAAATGCAACTGCTAGGACTGCACAAACGACTGCTTTTGCTGTAGAAATGGTAGACATGACAATCTGCATTACTGTCACTGCAACATTTATCTGCAGGTCTGTCACTCACTCATCTCATGAAGCAGACTTCCAATCAATCAATCAAATGTGTCGATCCACACCGACTCTGAGACACGTCATCCGTGGATCCCTTTTTTAGGCTTCGAGTCTGTTTTTTTCCTTTGGCACATTTGAGATGTAATCACCCCGACAGCTGCTTAAATCAGGTAGATCACCTGTGAAGACCATGCTGTCCTCTTGCTGACAGACAGCTGTTCTGATGAGAGGCACTGCACAGAGGTTAGAGTCGATGTGCATTGCACAGACCAAATGTGTTGCGCATATGCGCCTCTCATGTCTAGTGAAGTCCCGGTTTGAAGTTAGTAGTGGCTGAAACTCAAGTCCTTTAAGAAGTAGGTTATTAGTAACTTCTGCCCAAAAATGAGCTGGCACTAGCAGGTGAGTGAGAGAGCTGAACTGCGCATGAAGTCCAACACAAACATCACAAAAGAACAGAAATTCTTCTTGAGAAGGAAAATGAGCTTCAAGTACATCACATACACAAATGGCAAAGAATGGGCACAATTCATTGATATATACTGTAGTTAAATTGAAATTTAATCATTATCATGTTGATTTCTAGGCTACAGACCACTGACTAGCCTGCATTAAAAAGAGCTGGAACCTTGTTCTAGAAGTGATTTTTCTCATTTACCGTGTTCCATAAGTCTCTCTCTCTCTCCGAGTTTCATTATAAATATGCACATTGGAGGGTAAGGACATTCATAAAATTCATTCATTTTTTTCTACCGCTTAGTCCCTGAACAGGGTCACGGGGGGGGCCGGAGCTAATCCCGGCCAGCAATCGGGCGAAGGCAGGGCACACCCTGGACAGGTCATCAATCCATCGCAGGGCTAATACATAGACGAACAACCACACACACGCACTCCTATGGGCAATTAGAGATACCAATTAACCTAAGCTGCATGTCTTTGGACTGTGGGAGGAAGCCGGAGTACCCGGAGAGAACCCACACAAGCACGGGGAGAACATGCAAACTTCACACAGAAAGGTCCTGGGTGGGGCCCAAACCTGGAACCTTCTTGCTGTGAGGCAACGGTGCTAACCACTGCGCCACTGTGCTGCCCGGCATTTAAAATAATTGTGAAAAATACAGGTTCTTTTGCATAAAGTTGTAAAACAGAGGTGGTACCACCAAAGCTGGCACTGGTGCCATCATCTGAGAAATTTGGTGGCACCAGTGCCACCATTATGAAATGTTAGCCTGGAGCCCTGCATAAATGTTTTAATTCATAAAGGTGTATTACAGATTATTCATGAACATTTTTAATGTTTAAAATAAAATGATTGCAGATGTGAAGAGACAATGTTCATTTTTTATTTTCATAATTAAGGTTAAATGTTTTTAGGTTCAGGAAATACAGTGTAGGTCTCATCTGTTATTAAATTGATGTATATTATCTGATGCAAACATTTGCATTACTATATGAAAGTAAAAATTAATACCACTGGAGTTCAGGAAAAGCAATTGCTTTTTCAACTGCTGTCTGTTGAACAAGTCCTGAAATGCATTATAGCATTTTAGTATTGTTTATTTAAAGGATATTTTCCCTGTGTAAGTTGAGGTTGTTTTTGTCATGTCTTCATTTAGTGGAAGATGCAGTGGAGCAGTCCCACTTTGCTCTGTTTTTCAACCAAGGCCAGTGTTGCTGTGCTGGTTCACGAACTTATGTCCAAGCAGAAATCTATGATGAATTTGTGGAGCGGAGTGTTGAGCGAGCTAAGAAACGAGTGGTGGGAAGCCCTTTTGACTTCAAGACCGAGCAGGGACCACAGGTAACGCAAGATCTGTCACTGTACTATAGTATTTTCAGTTGGATCACAAGACGTACACATTCCTTCCTAAATCCTCCAATATGTCTGTTAAGATCTCTGTGATGACCTGTCCAGGTAGATCAGGAGCAGTTCAACAAGATTTTGGGTTACATCAGCAGTGGAAAGAGAGAGGGAGCAAAACTCATGTGCGGAGGAGGAGTGGCTGCAGACAGAGGATACTTTATCCAACCTACAGTGTTTGGAGATGTTCAGGACGACATGACGATTGCCAGGGAGGAGGTAGGAAAACAATTTTTAAAGGCTAAATATTTTAAAAAGTGTAAAAGTTAGAAAAAGCTGGGGTACAAGCATGCATGTCCTAAAAGAGTTGAACAATTGGATGTCTGAATAGTTTTTCTTGCTGAAAGCATGCTGAAGTAGTTAGCGACTGAAAAAACAAAAAGGTGGCCAAAAGTTTATGTAAGCAGGATATTGGTAGTGTGAATGCTAAATCAGCACAATAAACAGATATAGCTATGACTGTCTAATTTCGTCAGGCTGTCTCTGTACAATTTTAGGGAAGATTAATCACAATGTTTCAGTTTACAGACTACAGTAAAGTGTAATATCAATCTGTTGGTTTTAAAGAGTTAATGGTAACCTAATAGAAATATTAAAATAACGGTTTAACGTTATTTGTATTGCATCCATTCAGCGCCTTTTCAGTTTCAGCAGTATGTGGTGGTTCCATAACCCTCCTCCATCCTTTGCCTTTCTCTTTCAGTACATTTACATTATAGTCTGTATTTAACAAACATTTTTGTCACTGCTAGGCTGCTGATAAGTTATTATAGCAAAAAAGAATTGAGGAGTATTTCATAAGCTGAACGAGAAATTAGTAGGCCATTCTTTTTTTTTTTAATAGGATCAGTTCTACATTTGTCTGACCCATTTAAAGTCTCTTTCAATTATGTAGTTTCTTTGCAGACATTTAACATCAAGTCCCTGGTAGGCTAGTGGTTAAGGCGCAGCGCTCTCACCGCAGTGCCCCGGGTTCGAATCAGGGTTGCGTCAGGTAGGGCATCCTGTGTAAAACACGTGCCAAATGTGAACATGCGAGTCGTCGGTGTGACGATTCGCTGTGGCGATCCCTAAAACGGGAAAAGCCGAAAATGACTTTCTTTCTTTCTTTGCAGACATTTAGCATTAACTTTAACATTGTCCTCCTTAATTTTTTTCTGCACTGACTGCATTCAGTTGCCACTTAGCTCAAAGTGATTAGAAAACGGTGGGTTAAGCAGCTCTACAATTCTTCTACTTTTGGCTGCTCCCGTTAGGGGTCGCCATAGCGAATCTGCAGTTGGCATACTAAACCTGGCATGTTTTATGCTGGATGCCCTTCCGAACAAAGTTTAATTTAGAGTTGCCAATCAATCTAACCTGCATGTCTTTGGACTGTGCGAGGAAACTGGAGCACCAGGAGAAAACCCGTGCAGGCACAGGGAGAACATGCAAACTCTGCACCGAAATGCACCGAGTCGGCTGGGGCTGTGAGGCAACAGTGCTAACTGCTGTGCCACCATGCCGCCCCTGAGCAGCTTTACAATAATCAAAATTATACTGCCAGCAACCCAGCACCTGCTCCCTGCTTACTCCTCTCTGATGCTTTTGCCTCTTGGCTACTTTGGTTATCATCACATTAGTCTGTGGTTTAAGGTTCAATTCAGTTTTATTTGTATAGCCACAATTCACAGCAACAGTCATCTCAGGGCACTTTTCATAGTTGTGGGGTGGGGTGGGTACTGTATTGATCCCACAGTGGGGAAATGTCTGTGTTACAGCAGCAATAGAGATCAGCCAACATAACCCAATAAGAGCAGACACATAAAAACAGAACTTCATAAAAACACGGAAAAGAACACAAGGACACAGCTGCTGTAACTTGCTGCCACTCCGCGCGGTGCAACAAGGAACACTTGGTCTTAAAATAAACAGTTACATAAAGCCAACAAAGCATTAGAACCGATACACACAAGTAGCGTCATTAGAACGTTACATTTTACACAGCACAAATAAGCAAATCAAAGGCACCTAAAACCAGGGCAGAGCAGCACTGGAGAGAATCAGGAACAGCAGTAGAGACTAAACAACCAGGAAATCAAGAACAATCATTAGATTATTGCATAGTCCCTCATAATTTCACCTATCTTATCACTGCAGTGATGTGTTGTACAGTCTGATGGCTGTGGGGAGGAATGACCTGCGGTAATGCTCCTTCTTACACTGGGGATGTAACAGTCTCATGCTAAAAGAACTGTTCAGAGCCACCACTGTGTGGTGCAGGGGATGAGAGGGGTTATGCATGATGGATGTTAGTTTTACCAGCATCCTTCTGTCCGCCACATCCTTGATGGAATCAGAGAGCAGTCCAGGACAGACCCAGCTCTCTTGACCAGCTTGTTGTCTCTCTCTGTCCTTGACCATGCTACCTCCTGCCCAACCCACAACAGCGTAAAAAACTGCAGATGCCACCACAGAATCATAAAATGTTCGAAGGAGTGCCCCGTGCACACCAAAGGACCTCAGTCTCCTCAACAAGTGGAGGTGGCTCTGGCCCTTCCTGTACAGGGCATATGTGTTGTTGCTGCAGTCCAGCTTATTGTTGAGGTGGACACCCAGGTATTTAAAGGTGTCCACAATCTCAATATCTGGCGTGAGTGCTGGTGATTTCTGCTGGGGGTCAATCACCATCTCTTTAGTCTTGCTGGTGTTCAGGACCAGGTGATTTTCCTCACACCACTCCACAAAGTCAGTAACAACCCCCCTATATTCCCCCTTGTCCCCCCAGATACACAACCAACAATGGCAGTGTCGTCTGAGAACTTTTGTAGATGATGCTGGTGGGAGTTGTACTTGAAGTCTGACGTGTAGAGGGTGAACAGAAAGGGCGAAAGCACCGTCCCTTAGGGTGCCCCTGTGCTGCAGACTACTACATCCGACACACAGTCCCGCAGCCTTATGAACTGAGGTGTGTTTGTGAGGTAGTTAATGATGCATTCAGACAGGTGTTGGTCCACACCTGCCCCCCTCCAACTTCCCCCTCAGCAGTGATGGCTGGATTGTGTTGAAAGCACTGGAGAAGTCAAAGAACATGACCCTCACAATACTTCCAGGGTACTCCAGGTGAGATAGGGCTCAAGTTGACAACATGGCGCCCACCGAGCCGAATGTGTTTGCGCGCTCCACTCTTGAATGCCGTTTTTTTTTGTTTTCTTCTTTTTTGTGTGTTTTTTGCTTTTTCTGCAGTGCACAAACGTCATGCACTGCTTACATACAACAGACAGGGATTGCTGGATATCGCCAACTCACAAAGTCACTGGGAATTTACTGGTTTCATACCGCCGGAGCTACAACTCATTGTTCGCTCCAGCGATGATAACAACAATGGCGAGGAATGCCACCATCGCCCGTGGGGAGCCTCCGGAGCACCAGTTACAAGCGAGCAGGCTGAAATCAGGAGAGCAACCCGGAGACGGAGATGGGGCAGGCAAGGAGGACTTCATGCTAGGCTAAAAGCTCACGCTACCCGACCGCCATTACCCAGCCTCTTCCTTGCTAACATACAGTCTCTGGAAAACAAACTGGACTAGCTAAGGGCTAGGATTACAACACAACGGGAAATCAGAGAATGCTGTGCTCTAGTTCTCACCGAGACCTGTCATTCTGACAGAGTTCCAGACTCAGCGATTCAGCTACAAACACACAAACTACATTGAGGTGATCGCACTGCCGCTTCAGGGAAGGTAAAGGGAGGTGGTGTGTGTGTGTGTGTTTATTAATAACTCATTGTGTGGAGATGTATGGACTATTTATAAGCACTGTTCGGCAGACATAGTTTTTATTGCTGAAATGCCGGCCCTAGTATCTAGCCAGAAAGCATAGTGCTGTGTTTTTAGCTGCTGTGTATATTAGCCCAAGAGCTAATCCCTCCGCGGCTCTCAGCAAAGTCTATGATGTCATCGATGCGCTAGAGACAGCTCACCCCAATGTTGTATTTATCGCTGCAGGCGACTTTAACCAATGCAATTTAAAGACTGTACTCCCCAAATATTACCAACATGTGAACATTCCCACTCTGGGCAAGAACACTCTGGATCATGTTTACAGTAACATACGTGGTGCATACAGGGCTGCACCCAGTCCCCACCTTGGACGCTCAGACCATATTTCTTTGTTCCTGTATCCAGCTTACAGACAAAGACTGAAACAAACAAACCCTGTCACCAAACAAATTAAACTCTGGACCCCAGAGGCTGAAGGCACCCTGCAAGACTGTTTCGCCCAGACAGACTGGGATGTGTTTAAAGCTGCAGCCACCTCAGAGGACTTTTCTGTCAGCGTACAGGATTATGCTGAGTATGTGACTGGATACATTAGCATCTGTATTGACAACATTGTACCCACCATACAAGTCAGGAGGTTCCC